TCCCTCCCCTCTCCCCTTTCTCCCCTGCCCCCACCTGATTATAACTCCCCCACACACTTCAATCCAGCACCAGACACTTTTTTTACGCCGCTATGGACAATCTGCAATAAATACACATTTTATGGACAATCTTGAACCAAAGATATTGAAGTTACTGTTATTTTGTATATATTGATTGTTGTGTTTTTTTTTTATCTCAATGTGTGCATAATATGTGTAAATGTGTCTGTTGATTGTGTATATAAGATATTTTATACATATTTGTATACTGTATAATTTTACATTCGGGATTGTTGGAAACGTCATTTCGATCTCTCTGTCTGTAAACACAAACTGAGTAAGATTGACATTAAAGTTGACTTTGACAGTCGCAGGAAGTAGAGAGGGAAAACACATCTTTAAATTTACAGGAAATGAAGAAATTAGATGAGGTACCTGATGTACCTAAATCTTCCTGATCTACCTAAACATGTACCTGGTGTAGATAAACAGAATCTTTTGAGCACAGCTTGTTTTCCTTGTCTTTGTGACTTACAGAATAATGGAGTGGCCTTCAACACTGAGCCCCCCCCTGGAACACAGACAGGTGGGTCAGAGGGATGATCGAACAGAGTCCGGCTTTCTTGGCATTGCTGGTTCAAAAACATAAAACCCCAATCACAGATGATGGTTATCACCACAACCAACTTCCAGTGTTAACTTATTCAGGCTTTGTGCATGTTGCCATAAAAGAAGCCATTTTGCACGTGATTTGATAATAATACCTAAAATGGGCTGATGTTTGCTTCTTTGACAGACATGGATGTGAACTGCAACTTGACTGTTTTCTGTTGCTATTCCCCCCCCTCTGCTCTTTGTTCCTCTTTCTTTGTTTGTGACCCTCCTCCTGTCTCAGGTCTGTGTGGAGTGGTAGAGCAGAAGGATGAGGGGGGGCAGCAGCCAGACTCAGACTGTGCAGCTCAGAGTCAGCCTGGACATGCTGGACTCTGCGAGTATGACTTCTTTATTCCCTATTTCTTCGTCTCATTCCAACCCGAGCAACATGTTTTATGTGCTGGGTGGTCATCCTTCAGTCAGACCTTTAATCTCTCATGGTTGGATGCTGCGGTACCGTCTGCAGACAGAACAGTTTGTTGCTAGTATTGGTGCTGGGGGTCATTTTGTACCCCAGAAAAAAGAGGCAGGCTGCAAAAAAGAAAACGGGTGACATCCGAACATGTTGTTCTCAGACGAGCAGAAAGCTGCATGCTGTGTCAAACATGTCTTGGTCTGTCTCCAGGAAGCACTACAGGGAGTACCTGGTGAGTCTGATCAACAGCCACTCCATAGACCCCGCCCCCCTCTACAGCTCCAACGAGCTGCTGCTGGCCTGCAGGAGGTACAAGGTGGAGGACCCCCGCAGGGAGGGGGAGGACAGCTTCACCTACTTCAGCCGAGTGCTGCAGGTCAGCGCAATGTGTGTGTGTTTGATCAATATTTGTATTTCAATATTTGTATTTTGTATATTAATAAGATGATACACACGAAATATTGCCAATTACATTTGTCAAAAATCTAGTCAGAATGTCTTTACACTTGATCTTCTATTAACCATTTGTGTGATAGTGTGAGGCATACAGCAGACAAGGTTACTTGTGTGTGTTTAATTAATAAATAACACTTTGGTTGCTTGGTTTAGCCATGCTAGCATCATGGCTCTTGTCAGTCAGTTCCCCATAGTGCCGCACTGGAGTACTGTATCTCTAGCGCCACCATGAGTTCATGTTGCATTTGAGAGAAATGTCTGTTGGGAGGATAGGGATTTCATTATTGGCCAGACCTGTCACCATTAGGGTAAAGTGGTGAGTTTATTTATAAAGCACTATTCAACAACAAGTCTAAGTGCATTTAAATGTATTTAAAAGAAGAGCCCTTAGAAGGTAAAGATAATGCAAATAAAACAGAATAAAGTAGACTAATAAAAGTCACAGTGCAGTGTCGGACATGCATAGCTATTTGATTTAAAACGCAGCAGGAAACAAAAAAGTCTTCAGCATTGAAAAAGAAAAAATAGAGTTTATATAGTGAAACTCTAACAGATGTTTTAAAGACATACAGAGTGAGCCCCCCCCCCCCCTATTAGACACAACTAATAGATGTCTTCTACTGAATTACTTTGATTCTGAGAAATGTGTAAAACATCATTAGAAATGAATGATTCAGAAATGTTCAGCAGTTCATCGTGGTAATAGCTTGTGTTTGTAACATATTATTCGGACCAGATGAAACAAAACCATCCTTATCTATTCCACAAATGTAATTTTATTCTGTATGTCACACTATTTATTTGTATTCATGTGACACATCCTTTGTGGTCTCTCTGCAGAAACTGATGGATGAAGAACCGCTGGGAGACAAGGTGCCACGCAAGAAATAATGAGTCACTTCCTGTTTCCTGCAGTGATTTGTCCACATTTCAACCTAAAACCCAGCTACAGGAGACAAAATGGTTAAAATGTCCTTGTTGTTTGGATCGTAAAAAACTGATGTATAAAAAAATGTACTGTTTGTAATGTATTCTTTATTTTATACGCAGCATTTTTGTCCCTGTCATGATCCTGTATATGTGGCTCGTGATCTGATTGATCAGTATTCCAATCGGTTCCTCTGAACTGAATCTTCATTGGAGCTTTTAGCTGTGTATCATTGTGATCTCTCTGTAAGAACTCAACCAGCTTCACAATAGCAGAAAACCTGTAAGCCAAAGATAGCTAACGCACTAATCTCACTCCGTAATTCAATGTCTCAAATTACTTTGTCACACCATGAAATCCTTTACAGCACATTTTTCATTGTTCGGTATTATTCAATACTTCTGTTGTGCATGTTAAAACTTGACATTTCAATATTATACGGTAACAATCTTAAAAGATATTAGTATCTACGAAATACTGAATGGATGTAAACTCTTGTTGAATAGGTTTGCTGATGTAAAAACTACAGATTTTAAATACTGCTTTGTTGAATTATTTAAGATTTGTTTGTGTTCAAAATGAGAGTCTGCCAAGTGTAAATCACACACAGTGCATGTGGTGGCCTGTACTGTGCCCAAAATAAATAGTTATAATAGAGCCTTCAAACTGTCACATGTGTTTGACTTTGGCAGTGAAACTCAGATGCATTTAATATGTTTCTAAAGGATAGGATTAACGTTAGCTGTAAGCTTTGGTGACATGTATTTAAGTACATTTACTCAATGACTGTACTACTCACTAGATGTCTGGTTCAAAGATTAAAAACAAATGACTTTTCTGAGCTTCAGACAGTAGGAGGATTCAGTTATAATCTTGAAGATGTCTTTCTTTATTCATTCTCTTTCTTTCATCCAACTCATTATTACAACTACAATTGTATTATTTGCTGAAGCAGAAGTGATCAGGGTGACAATAAAAACATTAAGGGTGGGGAGAGAAGCACAGCAAACATAATTAAACAATAAAATGAAATGTGCTTATGTTATGGATTCTGAAGGTGGACATAGTGTCACGGTGACTGGCTCTATTTGAGCAGCTTTGCGGTTGCCATGGAGGTCATGGACGTCATGGTGTTGGTGATGGTTGGCACAGCGATGTCTTTGAAGATGGGCTGTGTGACAGCAGAGTAAGTTACTTTGTTCTCGCTCAGAGTCCCGATGATCATCTGCCGCATCTCCCTGCTGGCGTCGCCCCGCACCGCCAGCAACGCCTGGATGTGCTCCTCCCTACGGAGAGCCGGAGGGACAATATTAGAGTCAGTGTTAGAGCACTTAGCTATCAACCTCATATTATTCACGTGTAAAACTCACCCAAGACACTTTTAAAGTAACATGTGTACTGTGTCTAAATTTGGATACTATCCCTAGTTCACTGCAGGTTGTGCCCTGTTAACCTCTGTAGTTACTCTGAACCCACACCTGAAGTGATGACTGCCGCTGTATGCTTGGCAGCTAGCTAGCAACGTCTTTGTTTGTGGTAGCAAATCATTACAAGCGGCTAAAAGCTAAATAAACCCAATACAATAACAAGTGGCTTTCTTTTGACACCAGTATAGTTGTATAATTATTAAATTGGAAACAAAAAAAATATCTAGCTCCACCACAATTGCGACTGGTTGTGTAACTTTTGCTAAGTAGCCAAGATGGTGGTGGATGAGTGTGAGTAGTGTGCAGCGTTCCATCGTAAAACATTTTGTAATGGAAACTTCTGGAGCATGGAGTCTAAACACAATGATACACGGAAGAGCTGGAGCTTGATGGCACACACTGAAGAGGTTATCGGAAGTTACGGCCAGAGAGTTGAAAAGATATGTGCTGCAGCCACGAGGCAACACAACTCCTGCCTGACCAATTCTGAAGTTCTCTCCCCAGTCCCATGTATTTAGCTGGTTCTGAAAGAATAATCAACATTCTGCATAACAAGATAAAACAGAGAAGCACTATAACACCTATCAGCTGACGCCACCAGGCAGGAATAAGCAGACAAAACATAGAGAGCACAGCAGAGGGCAGTAAAACTGATAAACTGGGTCAAAGTTATGAGCCTCGGAAAATATTTCCTCAACAGTTATGCGTGGACCATCCGATACTGCATTTTGCCATACTGCATCTGGTTCTCTTCCTGCTTGTCCCTTTAAGCCATGGCAGTATTCAAAGGAATGATTCCAAAGAAACAATGTTAATGATTCAGAGTTACCAGGTCAGAGCCCAAACCTCAATCTCAGCAGCAGCACACAGCACTATGCACATATAACACTTTATTATTTTAAACAACCACCAGGAGTAAAACATATTTCTACAAACGACAGCTTTAAGTACCTTTAATTGCGTGTGTGTGTGTACCTGATGTCGGGGTACTTGGACACCAGCGTGGTGACCTCCAGGAACAGCAGGGTGGGGTCTGTCAGCTTGAAGACCTCGGCGATGGCAGCGATGGCTCCACACAGCCGGTCAGTGTCTTCACCCTGCAGCAACCAGCACAGAGTCAGACAGCTCCCCCCATCTCTGTCCTCCACAGAGTCAGACAGCTCCCCCCATCTCTGTCCTCCACAGAGTCAGAATGCTCCCCCCATCTCTCCTCCACAGAGTCCAGCTCTGGATCACACTGGCCCTTTCTCATTCCTCTAATTTCCCCTCCTCGGTCCTCCGGTAGTGACCCGGAAATGGATTTCAGCGCGCCATGTTGAAGGACATCTCATTTCTCTAAATGCACTTCTAGGACCGAGGATTGAGCATCGAGGAGGCTCTCTGGAGGAGCTATAATCGAGGATACACTGATGGGTCCTCCGCGGATTTATTTCCGGCAACAGAGATGTTGTGACGCACGGCCAGAATTATCTCAGCCAATGAAAGCTCTGCATGCATGCCCTGGATATTATTTTATTAACTGCATGGGGGTTATCCAGTCTCTGATTGTGTTACGTTATTATGAGAGTGCTCTCATACTTATATATATATTTATATACAGTGGAGCAAAAAAGTATTTAGTCAGCCACCAATTGTGCAAGTTCTCCCACTTAAAAAGATGAGAGAGGCCTGTAATTTTCATCCGAGGTATACCTCAACTATGAGAGACAAAATGAGAAAAAAAAAAAATCCAGAAAATCACATTGTCTGATTTTTAAAGAATTTATTTGCAAGTTATAGTGGAAAATAAGTATTTGGTCAATAACAAAAGTTCATCTCAATCCTTTGTTGGCAATGACAGAGGTCGAACATTTTCTGTAAGTCTTCACAAGGTTTTCACACACTGTTGCTGGTATTTCGGCCCATTCCTCCATGCAGATCTCCTCTAGAGCAGTGATGTTTTGGGGCTGTCGCTGGGCAACACAGACTTTCAACTCCCTCCAAAGATTTTCTATGGGGTTGAGATCTGGAGACTGGCTAGGCCACTCCAGGACCTTGAAATGCTTCTTACGAAGCCACTCCTTCGTTGCCCGGGCGGTGTGTTTGGGATCATTGTCATTCTGAAAGACCTGGGTCTTTCAGAATGACAATGATCCCAAACACACCGCCCGGGCAACGAAGGAGTGGCTTCGTAAGAAGCATTTCAAGGTCCTGGAGTGGCCTAGCCAGTCTCNGTTTAACTTCTTGTCTATTTGGTATTGATTTTTTTCCTAAACACCTTAAGGTACCCCTATTATGCTCATTTGAGTTCATATTGTTACTGTATGCCTACCTTCTGTTCGACTATGTTTACTTGCTTAATGTTCAAAAGTCTTATTTTCTCATACTGACTGTGACTGCAGCAACCTATGTACCCAACTTAAATCGTATAACTTCCGTAATAATGTATGACTACTTACGAAGTTATTACGATACTTCGATACTTCCCGGAAAGAGTCTGAACTTCTGTTATGGTCGACAGATGTCTGGCACTGCAGGAGACATGTAGAATATAAATACAATCAATGCAGAGCACTGATCAGTTCAGTTCACCACTGAGGCCTAATTAGCACAGAAAGTGTTGTCTGCGTGTTGCTTCTGTGAGGGGAAGATTTGACAGAAATCAATAACTGCAAGGAACCCAGATACACATAATTATTTTTGGATTTGATCCTTTTGTGTACATGCTTGTTTCCTTTCCCTCTCCTGATGTCTTTTAAAGCCGTGGAGACAGAACAGTGCCGGGAGACCAACTCAAACACCATGTACAGAAACAAAGAGAAGTGTCTCATAAACACAACACACTACAAACAAAGATACACCCATATAGTTGTATCAGAGTTGGTAATAAAAAAAAATGTATGAGGGATAGTGGCAAAAGGAAAATAGTACACTCCTTAAAGAAAGAGTTGGATATTTCTGCTTCATAGGATGCTGATTGACAGATTGTGTTACCATAGACCCAGACTAGCTGATTCCAGTCTTTATGTTAAGCTAAATTAGCAGCTAGTTTTGTTTTCCCCTTAGATTGAAGCATGATAGCTGCTTCCAATCTTTACTCTAAGCTATGCTAAGCTAAGCTAACCCTACAAACATGAGAGTAGTTTAAAATCAGAATAAGCCTATTCCCCAGAAATGTATGTTTTTTCTTTCAAAATTAGCAGAGGGCTTTTTGAGGAAACCATTCTCTGCCTCAATGCACTTGTCCATTTCATAAAAATGTATGATCCCAAATGTAGACAGACTCTGCACACACACAGCAAGAAAAGGCTCTCCAATGCAGAGCAAGGAGACATCCTCACTCTTCCTCACATTTTACAACATGCACACGCCTCCACAGAGAGCAGTCTGAGATTTAACATCCTTCAGCGTCCTCACACTTTAGCTCACCAATCATCCTGCTCTGCTTAATTTGCACTGCCTGCTCAAGGATGTCTGTTTAATTAGCGTAGCTACGTTGGAACACTGAACTCTTTTGATGACAGATGAGCAGATGTTCGTCAAGTCAACATTTTGTTATTCAGTTAGAGATCAGTGGTGTGTTTAAAATTCGGGATGCACAACAGCGCCAGAATAAATGTTCAATTCCCATCAGCGCGAGACTGTGGCTTATTTAAGGAGGGCACAGCATGCGGATAAGGTAAACATGTTAGTTAATAGATCATCAAAAACTATCCACAGTTGATTTCTTATTAATTGGCTTTTTTGTATTTGACATTTTCGGAAATTATTCAGAAATATGCAAATAAGGCGTTATCTTGTTAATTATGTGATAATCTGCATACATTTCTGAGCACTAGATTGTTCAGCTACAAATTATTTGGATATTATATCTCATTGTATCACTGCATAAAAAGAAAAATAACTGTCGAAAGCCGAGTTTGATGTATTTAAGTCCTACGGAAGTGGAGATTTCAGATTTAAAAAATATAGGCTAAAAAATGCAAGTAATAGATAATACTTTGAAAGTTCCCCAGTTGATAAATTATGTGAAGACAATTATTTTACTAAAATGTTAGATTGTAAATACACACATTATAGGCATTATCAAAGGCTACCTTTTGATGAATTTAGGAGCAATTTACATACACACAAATACACATTAATAGTTTTGTTTAACTTTCTTGGTCTATTTTGGATGTATTTTCTTTCCAAAACACTTAAAGGGACCCTATTATGCTCATTTTGAGGTTCATATTTGTTTACTGTATGCCTCTTCTGTGACATGTTTTCTTGCTTTAATGTTCAAAAAGGTCTTTATTTTTCTCATACTGACTGTGCTGCAGCACCTATGTCCAATAAATTCAATTTCATATAACTTGCTCATCATTCCACAAAATGGTGACAGCAAAAGCATTTAATAGTTATTGAAAATGACTGCTTCACAAAAGGAGGCAGAAAGAGAGAAATCAAGTTTGTCTCTTACTGCAGATAATGGCAGGGATAAAGAGAGTTTCTCAGTACAGCTGTTAGGCTATTGTCCTGATATGACAGGCGAACTATCACAGAAGAAAGGGGCGTATTTTGCCGTCCTCGCTCGACAGCACCCTTCTGATCCGCCATATCATGCTGATATCAGTGAAAGAACAAAGGATGAGCCTGAAAAGCTGGATTAATACATGTTTTATCTAATGTCCTCGTTCACAATACGTTTAGGGTACATGAGATGAAAGGAAGACAAAGAAATGAGCAAAAAAAACAGCACAACCTGGGGAAGAGACGATGCATCATAAGACAGGGCGGGAGCCATATTGACTGATAGAGAGTAAAAAAGAGGAAGTAGTTACATAGGAAGCAGGACAGTAAAACATCCTCAAAGAGTACCACACAATTAAATCCTTCTTGGTGTTTTTCTCACACAGATGTACACACCTATAGTCCCTTTTGGACAAAACACTTGAACTTAAACATGGAAAATAAAAAAGGTAATCCAAACGAGCTTCATTGGCCTCTTTAAAAATGTTCTAAGAGGTCTCTTTTTCTCTGGCCAAAAGGAAAATCCTTCAAAAACAAGGATGATGGAGCAAGATTGCAATCTTTCTTGTTTAATGTAGGAGTATGACCATATACGTCCATGTACCTCTCGAGGCAGCATCGCTCAGCTCTGCTTCATCCCATAGGCAGAACGAAATGTTGTTCTGTTTTCTTTTTTCACTTGTGATCACTGATGTAGACATAAAAGACAATGTAAGGATCCTGTATGGCTTCAGCATTGTAAAGGAATGGCTCAACAACTCAGACTTGGCATGCTTGTCACAAAAATCACAACAAGTTCACTGATGGACAGAACTATCCCAAGACTACTTTTCCAATAAATTGGACAACAACAACTCACAGTGGTTCAACCTTTAACAGAACAGGTACCACTGGGAAAAAAATGACACCCTACAAAACAGTTCGATAATTAAAGTCTTCAGAACTTCTTATTTATTTTGCATGGGGTTTCAACCACCATTAATTTTTAGTCATAATGATCTTTCTCTTCTAATTTACTATTTATTTATATACTAGCATTTATCAATATATATAGTTGTTCTTCAGACCATCCTATTGTTGTTTTAATTATTATTCCTCCTGATAATGTAGGAAGTTGCAGCCACACAGCTCCAAATCTTATATTATGTATCATGTGCACAGTGGTAGCAAAGATCAAGAGAATGTTCTTTGTTGTTTGTTCTTTGTTTTGTGCCTGTAGTGCAGGGGTGGGGAACCTCCGGCCTCCTTTACGGTCCGCGAGACCATTTGATACGGCCCTCGAGGTAATTTATAAACACACGCAAAAAGAAAGAGATAACAAGTGAGTGCCTGTTTTTCCTGGCCAAGGACAGGTTCCTTGAACACAACACAAGCCTAACGTGTCATCATGTGGTATATGTCTCGTCTGAAAGGGCTGTAGAGTGCTGACGGATGTGTTCATGATGACTTATATATTTACTTTTAATTAATTCACAGTGCGGTATAATAAGACAATAACAGGCTACAGATGCGGACATATATACACACATATATTTATATAAATATAATAATTTCAGAATCAAACAAGTATGAGAGCACTCTCATAATAACGTAACATCAGTTGAGGCACCCTCCTCAAGATGAGGCCCCCTCCGCAAGGTGAGGCGCCACGCAGTCTGCATGATCGGCCTGTTGGGAGGGACGAGTGATATACTGAGTGATATACAAACTGCTCTGCTTTCTGCACGGACCTCACAGCTGTTCTCACTGTAAACATTGCGTCGCGATGAAAGCAGTTAATTAAATAATATCATGGGGATGCATACAGAGCTGTCATTGGCTGAGATAAGTCTGGCCGTGCGTCACAACATCTTTGTTGCCGGAAATAAATCCACGGAGGACCCATCAGTGTATCCTCGATTATAGCTCCTTCAGAGAGCCTCCTCGATGCTCAATCCTCGGTCCTCGGTGTGCATTTAGAGAAATTAGATGTCCTTCAACATTGGCGCGCCTGAATATCATTTCCAGGGTCACTACCGGAGGACCGATGTTCGAGGGGCTCGGGGAGGGAGGCAGGAATTAGTGAAATGAGAAAGTGCCACAGTGACGCTCCTAAAAACCGCGGAAGTAAGTTAGATTTTACCACTTCCGGTTCCTTCGAGCAAGAAACCAAAGCATTTCTCCATAGGATTTTATCTCTTATCAGAGCAGTCCATCAACTGCTATAGTGAGTTGTTTGACATTTCGCTATTGAGAAGCAGATAGGATCTGTACAATCGTCGGCGTAGCAGTGGAAGGGGCAAATATTGTGTTTAGTGAGAATTGAACTTAGGGGCAGTTTATGTACAGTAAAAAAAAGGGATGGGGCCCAGGATAGAGCCTTGGGGGACCCCACAGGTTAAGAGGGGCGTTTAGCAGAGGAGAAGGCACCTAACTGCACTGAGAAGCTACGGTCTGTCAGTTAGGAGCCTGAACACATGCAAGGGCAGAGCCTGTGATGCCTGCGGACTGTTCAGCTGTGATGTGAGACAGGGAATGCTATGGTCCACAGTGTCAAGGCAGCTTGTCAGGTCTAACAGCACCAGGAAGCTGGGCTTACCTGAGTGCGGGCGGCTGGGAGCAATCATTAAAAACTGCTTAAAAGGGCTGTTTGAGTACTTGTGCATGGGTTGAAGCCAGACTGAAACTTTTCATGGATTGACCATGCATGGTTAAGAACGACTGCAGCTGGCATAGGACTACTCGCGCTCAAGGGCTTAGATTAAAAAAGTAGCTGGGAGATGGGCCTTAACATTTGCGAGAGGACGTCAAGATTTTATTTTAGAACCACGCAGTGTTTGAAGGGCAGCTGACACATCCGACTACAGAGTGTCACAGTCTGCTCGCATCATTCACCATAGTTGCCAGTTCACCTGTCTCACCTGTTAACGCACACCTACGTCTTTGTTGTCACGCTTTTCCTCTGACTGCACCATTTATT